AGGCCTCGTTCGCCGACCCGAAGAGCTCCTCCACGAAGGCGTCGTGGAGCTCGGCTAGGTCGCGGGCGCGGGCGGCCGCAGCGCCCTGGGGGCCACCGAGCTGCGGCCCGCCGCTCCCGCCGTCGGCGGCCTCCAGCTCCGTGTCGATGCCGTCGGTCTGCGCGTGCTGGCAACCCTCGCCGAGAAGCGCCTCCTGCATGGGGGCGGCGTAGGCGATGAGGTCCGCCAGCAGCTGGTTGGCGTCGTGCGGCGTGTGGGGCACGCCGCCGCCGGCGCGCCAGCGCCGATGGGGCCGAGGGGGACGAAGGGAGGCGCATCCGCCCTCAGCGCGCCATCGGCCGCCGCGCGCCGCTCCAGCCGGGGTCCCCGCTGCGCAGAACGTAGCTCCGCCGCGCTGGCCGCCACGATGTCCATGCCCTGCGCCTCGGCATGGAGGGCGACGTTGCGGCGCAGGCGCTCGAGCCAGGATGGGGTCCACCCTCCCAGCGTGGCCTGCAGCGCGGGGAGCATCGCCTGCAGCCTATGGGCCACCTCGTCATCCCCGATGACCGCGCCCAAGGCCTGCTCCGCGGCCTCCAGACGGGCCCGAGTCCTCCCCAACTCGCCCGTCAGGCGCCGCACGGCGTTGTCGGCGGACCACTTCGCCCACTGCCGTCCCGCAGCACGCTGGGCCGCCGAACGCATTGGCGCGCACTCCGCGCCATCCCGCGCCATCCTGGGTCCCGCGCGCCCGAAAGCGGGCGGGCCTGGCCTGAGCCAAAATGGCTACGGACTACGGCGTGGGCATTGGATAAGGAACCCTTCGCTAAGGAATCCAGGGTCTGGAGGCTGGTGGAACTCCAATCGTGGATCGGCCATGGATATCACCGCCGCCCTCATTGGATAAGGAATCCTCCAGGATCTGGTGCATGCTTGGCACATTCCTTAACCAACGCCCCCACCGTACGCTAAAAAAGCGCGCCCCTCCCTGCCGCGGTCGACCTGGGCCTTCCGTGGGCAGCGCTGCTTGGGCAGCGGTCCTTGGCTCCATGCTGGCCGCGTGAGGGATGTCTTGGGATGGGGGCGACGATGACGATGACGATCACGACGAGGATGAAGGTGTTGATGGTGATGATGATGCTGGTGATGATGATGCTGATGCTGATGCTGATGCTGCTGCTGCTGCTGATGATGACGATGATGGTGGTGATAATGATGATGGTGACGATGATGAGGATGGGGATGATGATGATGGCAATGATGATGACGGCGCGCGAAGAGCAGGGGCAGGGATGGGAGGAAGGGGGAGGGGGAGGAGGAGCGTTGCCGAGCTTTGGAAACTAACGAGAAAGGAGGCGAGTCCGATATTAGCTAGAGGCTTGCCTTGAGCGCGCCGTGATCCCGCCAATGTACAAACACGGCGAAATCTGCCACTTCCGAAGCCCAAAAAAGACAGCATGGACGCCGAGAACGGCTGGAGAATCATCAACCCCATCCACCACTCAGGCAAAACGTTTGTGAACGTGGTCACTGGCCGGTGCAAACCCATCATTTACCCTACGATGTCCAGAACTCAGTTTGGCGGGCTCCCTCTCCGGGGCACTCGGGAGGCCATCGCGGTGGTCGAAGAATGCATTCAGAGGTTCTGGGCTTTCGCCCGACGTGGCCACAGACGAAGAAATCCCATCCGCATTCTGGCAACGATACTGTTCGATCTGCAGAAAGCTTTTGATAAGATCCCCCGGGAGAGTGCGTGGCAGGTCATTCGGGAGAAGGCTCAATCGTTGGGTTTCTCGTTATTTCTCCAGGAGCTGCACGATGGCACATGTTATCTGTGGCGGAATCATCGTGGAGAGGTCGTCCGTCGCATTCGGATCCGGCAGGGCGTTCGACAAGGTTCGTTCGAGGGCCCGCTCGTCTTCATTTGCCTGTACGACCTCATTCTGGAGGCCGCGCGAGAACGTCGCCAAGCCATGGGGCTGTTTTCTGTTCGGGCCACGCCTCGTGCTGATCTTTTTGACGGCGGATATCTTGACCGAGTGCCTGTTGACGAGCTTGCATTTGTCGACGAGTTGATATCTTTACTCATATTCGACAACGGTGAGGACCTCGTGGCGTGGATCGAGGCCGTTATTGAATGCTTCGAAGATTGAGGCATGAAGGCGAATGTCTCGAAGCTTGAAATTTTGATCCATTCGTCGGGGAAGGGGTCCACCAAGTTGGACCAAACGGTATCAAACAAGAACACATCATGCAAGATCCGAGGGGCGAACGTTGTCGTAGGGAGGGTGGCCAAGTACCTGGGCGCCATGATCAATGTCGCAGGGGGTGCTGGCACAGAAATCCAGGCTAGGATCAAAAAAGCAGGGGATGCCCACCATCGACTCTCCCAACAGGTATTGAAGGCCGCACGCTGGAGCTTAAAGTTGAAAGCGCGGGTCTGGAGCACCCTCGTTCGATCTATATTGCTCTACGCAGTTGTGGTTCATATCTTATCCAAGGCCGATGTTTTGAAGCTCGAACGGTGGCAGACATAATGTCTCCGACACCTCGCTCGTTCACCTCGCCACCTCACTCGTGAAACGAATGACAACCTTCGAGCCCGCCTCAAGATGCCAACGATCGCGTCCACAACTCAAGCACGGCGGCTAAAGTGGTGGAGCCTTTTTATTACGCCCAGCGTTTCATGATGCCGAAGGTGCTCCACTTCGAGGCAGTCCACATGATGATCCTGGTGCCGCACCTCGTGCCGCCCTTCTGGGGACTTTGTCGCTCGAACCAGGCCACCTCCAGAGCACTACGGCACGCCAGGAGTTTCTGCTCCGTGACTTGAGGGAGTTCAAGGGGTATGTGCGACACCCAGGCCCAGGACGAAACTTCCCAGCATCGCACTCGTTTCCAAGAGCGCTTGGAATTCTTAGGCGAGCAGCGCTACCGAGCCCCGAGCATCTCGAAGCCTCGACCGAGGTGGCGAGCGATCAGTTCACCGTTTCTCATAGAGCAGCTTCTCACCACCCGAGGCGGGGAGGCCGAAGGTGGCCAGCAGGTCCCCCCTCAGGCGTGCGTGTGCGGCCACGTGTGCAAGGACGAGCGTGGACTGAGGATACACCAGCAACTGCACTGCAGTCATGATCGCGAGGACGCGCAGGGGGCCAAACAACGCCAAGCGGCCGCCAAAGCCAAAACTAACACGAAGAACTGGGTATGTACCGACTGCTTCGTCACCTTCGCTAAGAAGGCCAATCTTCAAAAGCATCAGGCTGGGTCGTGTCGCAGGAGGGCGGAGGAAGGAGGTGTGGGACAGGGTGGAGGAGGTGACCACGAGGGAGGCGGAGATCCACCTGAAGGAGGAGAAACCGGAGGAAATCATGACAGTGAAAGTCGGGAGGATGGGGATCCAGTTCAGAACGTTCGTCCAGGCACCGCAGTACCGCACGTACCGCATGTAGCAGGGGGAGGCCGAGGACGAGACGGAGGTAGAGGAGTTTATGGAAGTGAAGGTCAAAGGGATCAGATACTATTTCGAAGTGTCGATCAAGATGTGGAGTCAGAGTATCCTGATTTGCGCTCGGACGCTCGGACGCATCCTGCTTCGAGCTCGGGGGAGGCTGGGTCTTCTTCATTACCAGTGTCTTTAGCATGCCCCGTCCGAAGTTCAGCATCTTGCACCCGCCAAGACCCTCCGAGCGCCCAGCTGGCACGCCCATCTCACCACCGCAATGTTCGCAGCGGATCTCCAGCCCGTGTCGAAGAAGGCTCGGACCGAGGACGGCGGCGAAGCCAACAAAGGAGCCGGGCCACAGCGAGCTTGTGAAGGCCTAGGCAAAGCTCCTTCGGGTGCACGAGGGGGAGAGGCGCGCGGCAGCTCGAGACGCGAATATCGTCATTGAGACGAAGGAGAAGTCCGAGCTGCAGGATGTACTCGAAAGGGCGGCCGCCCACTACGACGCCACCACGAAGAGCGAACGCGAGAAGGAGGGCCCGTAACGCGGGCACCCCGAAGGGAAGCGTCCAGACGCCCTCTTCCGCAGCCTCCTCTTTCGCGTGCACCAGCTGGTCGAGGAGAACCAAACCGTGCTCGACCCGAAGATGGCCCAGATGCCGCCGGAAGTCAAGTTGGACGAACAGCAGGCCCTATACAAGCTCAAGCTCTGCGAGGCGAAAGCGGGGACAGAGGAGGGCAAGAAACTGCGCGCCACGAGGTGCTTCAGCTTGGCGGCCGACGAGGACGGAGTGGTGAAGTTGATTTTCGCGCTCGAGGGCGAGCCGTTCGTGAAAGAGATCTTTCTCGCACTCCGGCGCACGGAGGTCTTAGAGGTGCTCGGGGTCCGCCTGACCCACGATTTCGCCCCGCAGCACAAGGAGGCGAAGAAAATCCAAGACCTGGCCTTTGACAGTGGTTCCGGGCGGCGCCAGCGGCAGAAGAAGAAGTGAGACGTCGATGGAGGGCCGTCTGATGACACGAAAGGGGAGTGCCAGTGTGCAACTCATAAGTTGATTGTGCGTCGTACATGGCTAGATTGCTTCGGGTGCTCTCCCCTTGGGGGCCTCATGCTTGGGGGTGTTCGGGACCGCCCCATCTCCCCGCTCCTCCTTCCCCTCCCCTGACCCCTCCCTCCTTTTGCCTCTCTCGTTCTCTCTTCCCTTCCTGTGGTGCGGTCCCCTGCTTCCCGGCCTGGGGCGCCCGCTCGGGGGGGCGCCTCCAGGGCAGCGGAGACAGCGACGCAGTGCCAACTGCTGCAATCTCGGCCGGGCGATTTCATTTTGCATCGTCAGGGGAGCCCCTCGCCCCTGCAGAGGCAGGACGAGCGGGGGCAGAGAGGGGCTTGCAGCCCTGCAAAGGCAGGGTTCGCCTCTCGCTTGGGCTGGCCGCGCAGCCGGGCGAGGAAGGTGGCAGCGCGCACGCTGGCGCGGCGCATAGGGATCCATGGGTCTGAGCGCGAGGCAAAAAAAAGAGGAGGAGGAGGAGGAGGAGGAGGAGGAGGAGGAGGAGGAAGAGGAGGACGAGGAGGAATATCGGTCAGCAGGCCTTTTGGTGAGAGGCCAGACGCCTGACTTGCAGCTGTCCTCCAAGAATTCGGCATCGAGTTCAAGGAGGCTCGCACTGCCTTGTCGCGGCGGCCGCGGCCGCCGCTCACTTAAGCTCCAGGTGTGTGCCTTGCAGCTTGCTCAAGACAAAAGAGGAAGGAGAGGACGAGTCTCCTCAGTGCACCAGCGCGACGGACAGGATGAAAGCGAGCACGCAGAGCGGCGCGCGCACGGCGGGCCCCCGCCCCGGCGCCCGGGAGGAGGAGCCCGGCGAGCGTGGCACGAAGCCGCCGCGGAGCTCGTCCGGGGTGCAGGTGCCCGCGGCACACCGCTCGGGCCGCTGCAGCCGGCCGTTGAGCACCACGGCGACACTGCGCTGGCCGTGGCCGTCCTCGGACGAGCACAGAAATAATCGGCATAAACATAACTTTAAGTCGGGCCTGTCCCCCTACAGGGGGATTTTGGACGAAACATTATAAAAGTAAACCAAAAATGCCCCAAAATGGTCAACAAATACTTCAAAACGTCGTCCCCAGACTATTTTTGACTATTTTTGAATTTTCCCCCTGTAGAGGGACAGGCCCGGCTTAAACATTATTCCTCGGAGGTCCGCGTGGAGTTCTTGGACTGGCGCTGAGGCTCCCCTCTTGGCGCGCCGCCGAAGGCGCCGCCGAAGAGGCCGAGCGACGATCGAAGAGATGCGCGCGGACCTCCGAGGACTTGTGCTTGTGCCGTTCTCTTGTGCCGCGAGTCCTCGTACAGCTCCAGGGCCAGGTGCGCCGCCAGCGGCGGGAAGGGGTGGTCGCTGGGCAGCCCGAGCGCAGAGAACAGGGGCAGCAGCGTGCTGTCGTGGCCGGAGAAGTAGCCGAGGCGGCCGCCCTCCATGTCCGCGAGCGCCTCCGAGAGCACCGCCCGCGTCATCACCTGGCAGAGCGTCGGCGCGGAGCCGTTGGGGCGCTCCTCGCAGCTGCGCCGCCAGGCGGCCTTCTTGTACTCCAGCAGCTCCTCGCGCACCGACGCGTCCTGCAGCAGGCCTGGCCAGGCCCAGGACTTGCCCCAGCAGGCGGAGACCTCCAGGCAGTCGTGCAGCGGATCCGAGGCTTTGTCGAAGAGGTCCCTCGGGATGCCCAGCAGCTGCGCGAGCTCCGTCGCGGTGGAGTCGAGTTGGCTCGAGGCCTCGTGAGTGTCGACACCGTAGCCCTGCGCCACGGCAGCGTCATCGGGCGGAGAAAACGTGACGGTCAGCCGCGGCTCCACCCGCAACGCCAACGCCTCGGGGGGGAAACGAACAGATACCGACACCGCTACTCTTAGGTCGGGCATGTCCCCCCTCAGGCAGATGTGGGAGGAACGATCAAACATAGTCAAAACATAAGCGCAGCAATTGTCAACAAATAGTCGAAAAAGCGTCCCAATATTATTTTGTTTATACGATGTTTGAGTAATTCCTCCTGTAGAGGGACAAGCCCAACTTAACGCTACTCCCCAGACCTTTGTGGGGGTGTGCGCTCTGACTAGCTTCCTGAGGAGAATCAGGCCGTGGCGGCCGGCGAGGGCTCTCCCGGACGAGCGGCGGTATCGATACCTCTTTCTCCTGTCAGCCTCGGGCACCGAGCCTGGGGCGCCCTCTCGCAGCCCCGCGATGAAGGCCGAGGCGCTCAGCACCGTGCGGTTGAAAGGCGTGCTCCGCGCCACCATGGCCGAGAGCCCCGGCCGCAGTGCGGCGTAGCGCCGGCCGTACAGCGCGCCGACGCGCCGCAGCTGGTGGGAGCCCAACAGGGTCAGCTGCCCCGCGTTGACCAGCACGCTGGGCCCGCGCAGTGCCTCGGACAGCTCGGTCAGGGTGTCCTTGAACGTCTGCGAGCCCACGCCCGGCCTGTAGTCGAGACGGAACGAGGGCGGCGGCGGCGTCCAGGCCGTCGCGCAATGCCTGGGCGGGGGGTGGACAAAAGCCCCACAAGTCTGGTGAGCACTGCAGGGGGTCCGGCCCGGGACCCGACCTCCGGCGGGCGCAGACCCCTCAAAATTCGGCCGCGACGCCCTTTCGAGAACCGAGAATCGGCCATTCGCGAATCGGCTTGGCAGGGTGGGGGCGAAGAAAGGTATACCATAAGCTTTTCCGCCGTCGGGGACGCCTGCCCCCCGGGCGGCTGCGAACAATTGATACCCCTGCGTGGCGCCACGCAAGGGTACAAAGTCCCGACGGCGGACATGTTGATTGTATACGCTAGCGAAGCAACTGCTCGCGAATGGCCTGGATCCGCCGCGGGGGATCCACGATCCACTACATCGAAGCCACCATGTGCTGTCTGGACGTATGCGGCTAGGAAAACTTTGCGAGTCGTGCAACGCGCTCGGAGATGTCGAGGGAAGCGACCTTCTCCCCCTCGCTTCTCCTCCCGCCCCGTGCCTCCCGCCTCTCCCCCTCCTCCTCCCCCTCCTCCTCCCCCTCCTCCTCCTCCTCCTCCTCCGCCTCCTCCTCCTCCTCCTCATCCTCCTCCCATCCTCCTCCTCCTCCTCCTCCTCCTCCTCCTCCTCCTCCTCCTCCTCCTCCTCCTCCTCCTCCCCCTCCTCCTCCGGCCTGAGCGACTTCAGGGGCGTGCCGGCGGCAAAGTACCTGCTGCAGCTGCTGCCCCAGAGCCAGGCGGGGCCCGACTCGCCCTCGCTGGCCTCCAGGTCCGCCAGGGGCGTTCGGTCGCCGTGCCGTGTGAACACGGCCGCGCCCACCAGGCGGCCGAGGCTTGGGGGCGGCGACCAGAACTCCTCGCACAGTCGAATAGATCGGCCGCAGAATCGATGTACCCCAAGCTTGATTCGTCCGTCGGCTCTAGGAGACATGGACAGGAAATGTTGCTCGGATCTCCTACGGAGGCTCCCGTGCATGTTTGGGAGAGTCGGCGGAACAGGCCAATTCTGGGGTACATCAATTCTGCGGTCGGTCCCCTACTCGAAACAGTGGATATGCCGACCCCTATCCCAAGCGACGGGGCCAACAGTTTGGGGCTCGACCCTGGGATATACGATGGGGGCGTTCATCCCAGGGTGTCCCTCCTTTTCTGAGCGGCTTCAGCTTTCGTCGGAAAGTCGGGGGGTGTGGGGGGGAAGATCGCCTGCGATCCTCGACCATGGCCGCGAAGTCGGCGTCACCCTGCGGCCCGCAGTACTCGATCGGGCCCGAGCCCACGCCTGGTCTGGGACCCGAACGGGCAGCACCGGCAGCACCCGGCTCGAGCATCAACAGGACCGTGCGCTGGCAGGACGCCCCGTTGTCGTCCGACACCGCGAAGACCAGCTCGCGGCCGTTGTTGGTCCGCACCAGGGCAACGCCTTCCACGTTGTCGAGAGGGTAGCCATCCTCCGACCGCATCTCCACGAGTACGGGGGGCACGGTGCTCAGCATCTCCCAGCGGCGCGCCCCGGCAGCGGCGCCGCCCGAGAAGCTGCTGCCCATGCGCGCCAGGCGGCGGCGCTCCACCACGCGCAGGTGCTGGCCGTAGCCTTCGATCTCGCCCTGCCACTTCGCGAGGAGCACCAGCACGTCCCAGCCATCGGCGCTGCTGCTTGCGCCGGGGGCCACCGTCGCGCCTGTGACTCTGAAGCCGTCTGGAACGCGGAGCACCACCTCCTCCCTGTCGCCGCTCAGGCTGCCGTTGACGATCCACCCTCTGCCCCCCGCCTCGCAGATCGCCAGCAGCCGCTCGGCGCCCAGGTGCACGAGCGCCTCCACGCCGTCCTCGGCGCTCGGCCCGCCCTCCTCCGTGCAGACGCCCAGCGGGCGCGCTGCCCGCGCGGCGGCTCCGCCGCCGCCGCTCAGGACGCCCGCCAGGCTGTAGCGGAGGACGCCAGAGGTGTGCCTGCCCGCTCCGGCGTAGTCGGTCTCCCTTGTGCGGGTGGGCTCCGTGGCGACGAGGAGGTCGTCCCCGTGGAGCGATACGCCCTCGAACACGGTGCCGTAGCCCAGGGTGTGCATGGGCCTGCCGAGCGTATCCAGGAGCGGCGCCTGCTCCACATCGTGGACCGACAGGGCGCCCGAGCCGACGTCCACGGTCAGCTGCACCCAGAAGCCCGAGTCGGACAGCGCAAGGAGCCGCACAGACGGGCCGTTCGAGCCGAGGGCGGTGAGGCCGGAGAGCCTGCCCTCCCACCTGAGCTGCGAACAGAAACGGGCCTTGAGCACGATGGCACACAGCGACCTTGCGCGGTGGCTCTCGCGGGTTGGCAGCGTGGCACACCGCATGGAAAAGACGGCGCTCACGCAGGAGGAGGAGGAGGAGGAGGAGGAGGAGGAGGAGGAGGAGGAGGAGGAGGAGGAGGAGGAGGAGGGGGAGGAGGAGGAGGAGGGGGAGGAGGGGGGGAGGGAGGATGAGGATGATGATGATGAGGAGGAGGAGGAGGAAGAGGAGGAGGAGGAGGAGGAGCAGGAGGAGGAGGAGGAGGCGGGAAGCTCACGCGCGAATGTCCGCGCAGTCGACCCCGTGTTCGTCCGTCGCCAACCCGTCGCCGCCGGTCAGCCAGGCGCCCGCGGACACCGAGAGCTGCGCCTCGGCCGCCCCCGCTGCCGGCGGGGCTGGCGCGCGAAACTCCAGGGGGTGCGCCACGACGTTCACCTGGCAGCATCGCTCAACCGATCCCTACTGGTAGGTTTGCGTCGTGTCGACCAGCGGCCGTTGCGGCAGCGGCCGATCGTTCAAGGTTGAACGATCCCTGCGGTGTCAAAAACCAACGCTGGGGTCGGCACGACACGAACCTGCCGTATCCACACTGGCGTGGCCCTTGCCCACTGGCCGACTTGCCCACCCAGGCGAGGGTGCATGCTCTTTCCTTCGGGCTTCGCGGGGCCTGTCCCCAGCCAGGCGGGTGGGCTGGTGGGGCTAGGGTGCCCTGGCGCAGTGGGGATGGGAAGCGGTTAGGTGTGGGGGTCCCAAAACCGCGTGATGACAGACCGCGCGTAACCTTGCAACCTCAAGAGACCTCACCGCGCGATCCGTCACCGCACCGTTTTGGGGTCCTGGAGGCTCCAGTTGCCCGAGACATCCTCGGAGGACGACCCGAGTGCCAAAGCCGTGCGGTGACCCCTAATCCCCACTGGCTAACAAGGCGGTGTGGTCACCACACCGTCTTGGGGCCCCGATGAGACGATGCTGAACCTGCTGCCACGCGCCGACGCCGGTGGCGCTCGCGGGCGGCGACCTCTCCTCCAGCGAGAATACTGCGCCTGCCGCTGGCCCCACCAGGAGCAGCAGCGCCAGCAGCAGCGGCACCGCTGGACGCGGCAAGGCTGGGCGGCCAGCTCCCATCGCCCGCAGCGCTGGTCTTCCCCGAGGCGGACCGCCAGGCCGCTAGCGCATCGCGGCCTCGAGGCGAAGCGGGTGATGGTAAGGCTGCGGGCTGCGCACAGACAGCCCCCCCCAGGCAGTCCCAGATGGCCTCAACAAGCCGCCCGGGAACCCTGCGGCGGTCTCAGCACCCTGGCGCCGCCTCTGGCGGCGCCCCTGGGGACCTCCGCGCCCCAAGGTGGTGTTGAGACAGAGTGCGGATTACTCGGGGGGCCTCTTGAAGCCAGCGGGGACTACTGGGGGGCTTACCCGAGGGGCTGCCTGCGCGCAGTTCGGAGCCTCACCTGGGTGGTTTTTCTATGGAGACGGCGCGGGGAGATTCACACGGCAGGGGCGTCGGGGCTCTCGGGCCGACGCGGGGTGAGCCGAAACGGCTGCGGACGGAGGAGGAGGAGGAGGAGGAGGAGGAGGAGGAGGAGGAGGAGGAGGAGGAGGAGGAGGAGGAGGAGGAGATTAGCCTCTGCGTTTCGCGCTCCCTCCACGATCACCTGAGGACGTTGGCCTCCTTGGCCAGCTTAGCGTGGCCTGGGGCACGTCCCCTCTCCAGGGCACTCAGATGCTGGAGCCCAGTGCGTGTTGGGGGGGTCGCAATCCTTGGCCAGCGTGCCTGTCGTGCTGAAGTGGTCTGTGCTAAGACTACCGCGCCTCGAACAGGCGAGAAACAGTTCCCTATACGAGTGCCCACCCCCGCCTCCCACCATCGCACCATGGGGCCGCGTTTCTTGCGGGGGGCTGGTGGCAGGGCTGACAAACCTGGGCGCAAGACGCAAGGCCCTCGGAGCCACTTGACTACTGAAGTCTTGCACCTTCTGGCTGGTTCTGGCCCTCACGTGCGACAGTGCCAACGACGACGTCGACAACCCCACGACTCTTTGACGCTCAGCAGGTGCAGAGTGTCCCTGAGGGCCGCTGGCGAGTCGAGTTTTGGCCTGGCGGTTCCCTGGGCTGCAGCCTTCTCCTCGGCTCCGACCGAGGCAGCCACGCAGGAAAGGATGGACGTCAGTCTCTTCCTGGAGGAGGAAGAGGAGGAGGAGACTGGCTGGCTGGATATCAGACTGTTGTCTCTGCAGCATTCTTCCAGTAGCCTGCACGTCGACAATTGTGCGCATCAAGAATGGAATTCGGTACCCCCGCCACGAGTGGTTATCCAGTCATTGGAACACCCTGGATAATGTCAAGGCCGAACGGCTTAACGTAATCATCCCGCAAAAAAGCCATTCGACACTAGCCCAGGTGTGAGGAGAAACGCATCTCAACACGACACCCACAGAAGGGGAGAATGGGGAGGAGGCCACCTCCGAGGCACACAAGCACAACACAGAGGCCCGAGGCGGCAGAGAGAAAAGGGGAGAAGTCACACAACAACCCCGAATCAGTTCACCTATCGTCTACCCTTGCCTTTACCGAAACATCGGGGCCTTTTCTTGGGTGGTGCCTCTGGTGGGTCACAAGACCCCGAGAAACGAACTCTACTTCTCTCAGGAAGAGATCGTAAACAGGCTGGGCTCTACTCGAATTTCCTGCAGCCAGGTTCCTCAGTGCCTCCTGTGGCTGCGACCCTTGAGCATCTTCTCTAATGAGTTCTGGAGCTTCCTTTCTGTCGTCGCTAGCGGCGGGGGGCCTTGCTTGATCTCCGACACCAGGAGCGTCAGCAGCTTGCTGATCAGGAGGCTGGCCCGCACTATCAGCATGTTCGGGGGCCCCCCAGTGGGCACGAACGCATGGATGCAGAAACTGTGTCGCACTCGAATATCCTCCCCCGCCTTGTGGCAAGCGTAGTCTTGGCCCTCCAGTACTTGATAGATTCTGCCGCAATGTCCATGTTCTCCCCTTGATTCGCTGGACGAGGCTCTTCAGTCTGTGGTGCTCCTCCCTGGGTTGCATACTGTCCTGAACTACTTGCGGCGCCAGAGAAAATCCAAGACTGCCATAGCAGCCATCAGCGACGGTGGGCCAAGATGGGCATTGGGGCCGTCGTCGAGCTTTTTCATGTACATCTGCGCTGCTCCAAGTGCATGAGGGTTTATCACGAATTCCTTCGGCACCAGATGTGTAGACAAGAGACATCCTTCCAATGCTCGAGCCCGCTGGTGTGCATTGAGAAGGCCTTTGACTGGGTTCAGCGCTGTCTCGTCCTCCGAGTCGGAGCCCTCGACCTCCATCTCGGTAAGATTGGCTGCTGTTGCTGCTGACCCCGTGGCCCCCACTGGGGCTGCTGCCTTTTTCCGCTGTCTGCGATGTCGACCCTTTCCGTAACCACCAGCTGGGAAGTTGTCCTGAGAGCGGGCCAATCGTTTCTTCGCCTCGCCCAACATCGGTCCCAGGTCGCCTGCCATCCAACTCATCTCGCGGCTTGTCGAAGGTAAAGTAAGCCACTGAATCCAGTGTGACGTGACTGCGAATGTGAACCTGAAGAGCCTCCAAACTATCATAGTCACGGCCGCATGCAGGGCAGAGGAGAATGTCGGGCTGAACTATAGGATATTGATAATGTCCTCTGCCAGCCTGACAACATCCGCTGAGGAGGAGGGCGTGCCGACGGCGTGGCATCGCTACTGACGGGCATCCTGCTGCGCTCTTCCGTGGTCCCCCCCGCGCGCCGACGGCGTGGCACTCCCACTGCCGCCTCCTCATCCTCCTCCTCCACCCACTTGCTCATAGAGAACTTCTCGGGCGTGTTGGTCGGGCGGGCGGGGCATTTCGCGCGATACCCCCTCAGCACTCGTGGCCCTGAGGCCTCAGAACTGCAGCATCGAGGACGCATCAGGTGTGGTGTTCAACATGGGGCTCTCGTCTCGGGCGTCGCGCCGCACTCGACTTCATAGCTTTAGGTCGGGCATGTCCTCCTGCAGGCGGATGCTGGACGGATAAATACAAAATAGTCCAGACATGCTCAAACACATTGTCAACACTCAGCAAAAAATCGTCTCCAGGCTTTTGTGCGTGTGTGAGAGAGAGGGACAATGTTTGAATGTTCTTCCTGTAGAGGGACATGCCCGACGTAATCATAGCTTGCAGCAGCTTCACGGGCGGAGGGGCGGTCGCTTGACAAAATGGGGCTCTCGATTGGGCGCCGCGCACGCTCGCCTTCGTAAAGCTTACATGGGCGACGGAGGGAGGCCGTTCTCAACATCGAGCTGCCGCCTCAGCGCCGCACGCATTGGCTTCGAGAGTGTGCAGCAGCTTCAAGCATGGAGGGGGCGGGTCTGTCTCGAAGTGGAGATCTCACCCGAGCGCCGCGAAGGTTCGTCGTACACTTCTGCGGCGGCTTCGAAGATGGATGGCCGAGTCTGTGTCCAACTTGGGGTTTCCCGCCCAAGCGTTGGACGGAGTACGGCTCCTTGCCCAAAAACGGGTTTTCGCCCGAGTCTGTTTTGTTTGGGCAGGTGCACCAGCTGCACAAAGGGAGCGGTTTTTTTTTCAACTAGAGGTTATCCTTTGGGGCTTCCTCCAAGCTCCTGGCCATGGGTGTAGCCTTGTGCAACAGCTTCAGCGATGGATGGGGCCTCTTGCATAACGGGGATCTCGCTGGAGACCTCGTTGGACTGTATGGCCATGCTCCCACACCCCTCGGTCTTCATTACAAGGATGCGGTACAATTCCTTTTCAGAACGGGGCTCTGGCCTGAACGGCAGATGTCTCTGAAGTGGGGCGATTCTTGCAGTGGGAAGGAAGGGTCGCATAGACTTCTGAACAGAAGATGTGGGAAGGGCGGGATTATTCCAGCATCGTTGACGCACCTTGCGTTCACACTGGTCCTCGTGCTCCTCTTCCCCCTCCTCTTCTTGCTCCTTCTTACCCTCTTCCTCCCTCCCCCTCGCCCCCCGCCGTCCCGCGTCGTCGTCGCCCTCCTCATCCTCCTCATCCACCCCCCCTTCCTCCCCCTCCCTCGTCGTCGTCGTCGTCGTCGTCCACCTCCTCCTCTTCCTCCTTCTCCTCCTCCTCCTCCTCCGCCTCCTCCTCCTCTTCCTAGGAGCTCCTCCTCCTCCTCCTCCTCTTCCTAGGAACTCCTCCTCCCTTATCCTCCCTCCTCACAATTCTCCTCCTCCTCCTCCTTCTTCTTCTCCTCCTCCTCCTTATCCCCGTCCTCACCCCCCCCTCCTCCTCCCCCTTCTCCTCCTCCTCTAACCCCTCCTCCTCCCTCCTCGCCGTCCCCCCCCCCCCTTCTCCCCTCTTGTTTCACCTCCACCTCCGCCTCCCTCCCTCATCGCCTTTGTTTACCTTCTCCTCCTCCTCCTCCTTCTCCTCCTCTCCCTCCTGCTTACCCTCCTCCTCCCCTTCCGCCACAAGGGGCTCCGGGCCCACGCTGGAGCGCGCTCCGACCAGGAGCCTCGGACCGTCACCGCGCGATCTTGGAACCCTGGAGGCCCTGACCGCCCGAGACATCCTCGGAGGGCGGCGCGCGTCCCCAAAAGCGTGCGGTCACCCCGAGCCCCCACTGTCCAACCACACCGTGTGGTCACCGCCCCGCCTGGGGGCTCCCGATCGAATCCCATCCCCCCCGTCCTGCGGCAGCCGGTGCTCGGCTAGAGAGGGAATGAGGAGCAGGGAAGGGGGAGGGAGCGAAGGAGGGCGGAGGGAGGAGGGAAGGGGCAGAGGAGGAAGGCGGAGGAGGGCAAGATCAGAGGAGGGAGTAGCGGAGAAGGATGAGTAGGAGCGGATGATTAGGGGGAGGAGGAGGGGGAAACACAGGGGGTCTGCGTGAGCGTGTGTTTGTGTGTATGTGTGTATGTGTGTGTACGTGTGTATGTGTGTATGTGTGTGTGTGTGTCGGGCTGTCGCCCAAGTCTCGTCCTCCGTCGTCGGTCGTTCCCCCGCCGCTCGCACTCCTCCCTTCCCTGGTCCTGGGTTCGTGCTAATTCCCGTGTGTCGCGCCCTCTCTATGCCTGCCTGTGATGTTGGTGCTCCTCCGGGTCGTCCACCAAGTTGGCCGCAGTTCGGCTTTTTGCCTTTTGCATTCGGGCCTTGTCCACCGCACTGCCGACCCTTGTCATCCCGGTCGCCCCGCAATCTTAAGTGAGTCCCGAATGGCGGCGTCGCCGGGACGTCCTCGTTTGAATGTCGCCTTTTTCTTCGTGCACTGGCTCCAGCTCGTTTACCTTGCGCGCGTCAGCTACGTCCTGACCACCCACTCTGACCACCCACTGGCAGACGCCTGATGGTAATCTATCTTGGCGCGCTCCGTCCTCTTTCGAACTCGATTCGTTAAGTGTGTGTGTGTGTGTGTTCGACCGACGAGGAGACTGGAGCGAGGCGTGCTCCGTTGAGCACAGAAGGAGGCAGGAGGGATAAGGGGAAAGAGGGTGGCGCAGAGGAGGAGGAGGGAGAAGAGGACGAAGAGGATCAATATAAACTCAAGACTGATCAACGATGCTGGAATACATCCGCCATCCAAGCTCCCTCTTCATAGGTCCAGACAAATATTCACTTCCCCCACAAAACAAATTGAGGGCCCCGAAGGGGAACCACGGTGTGAAAATCCTGAAAAGTGCCGAAACACCACTTTCATGATTTCAAGGCCACGAGTCAACCTGACTGTTGCGTCTTGCCCGACCCTGGCTCGCGCCAGAACGCCATTCCTGGGACTTAAACACCGCGACTCGACGTAGCTGTTGCGCCCGGACAGTCCTGACACGCTCCATTACACCATTTCTGTTACGTTGGCCATGCGAACGAATAAAACTCTTGCAAATGTTAAGTCGACGGTTCTCGCCGCTAAATCGAGAAACGCATGTTGAGAAGAAACCGGCCTCAATCCGTCAATATCTTGCATGATCGAGCGAATGGGTGCGGCGCAAAAACGATAACGTGAACTTGAGACTGATCCGATTTCAATCCGTGGAACTCTGGTTCAATTTAGACAGGATGTGTGTGGCGCTGAGGCGAGAGCCGCATGAAAAAACGACCCACCCTCAATTCGTGAATATTTTGCGGCTGATGAAACGAAAGCGCGCGGCGCTGAGGCAATAACCACATTTGGAAAACCACCTGTCCTCAATTCGTGAAGCTCTTGCAGTCTGTTAAAACGAATGTGCGCGTCGCTAAGACGAGAATCGCATTGTGGAAGCGACCCGCCCTCTATGCGTGGAGCTCTTGCAACTATGAGGAAAGGATGTGCGCGGTGCTGAAGCAAGAGCCACATTTGGAACATCACCTGCCCTCAGTCCGCGAAGCTCTTGCAATTTGTTGAAACGAATGTGCGCGTCGCAAAAGCGAGAGCCGCATGTTGGAAGCGGCCTGCCCTCAACCCGTGGAACTCTTGCAATTATTTGACAACGGTTGCGCGCGGCACCGAAGCGAAAACCAAATTCGGAAAACCACGTGACCTCAATCCGTGAAGCTCTTGCAGCCTGTTGAAATGGATGTGCGCGTCGCAAAAGCGAAAGCCGCATTTTGGAAGCGGCCCGCCCTCGATCCGTGGAACCCTTGCAGTCCTTTGAAACGAATGCGCGCGGCGCTAAGGCAAGAACCACATTCGGAAAACCACCTTTCCTCAATCCGTGCAAGTCTTGCAACCTGTTGAAATGAATGTGCGCGTCGCTGGGGAAAGAGCCTAATGTTGGAAGCGGCCCGCCCTCAGTCCGTGGAACTCTTGCAACTATTTGAAAAGAATGTGCGCGGCGCGGAAGCAATAACCACATTTGGAAAACCACCAGTCCTCAATCCGTGAAGCTCTTGCAGCCTGTTGAAAAGAATGCGCGCGTCGCTAAAGCGAAAACCGCATGTTGGAAGCAGCCCGTCCTCAATCCGCGGAACTCTTGCATTGCTTTGAAGCGAATGTGCGCGGCGCTGAGGCAAAAACCACATCCGAAAACCACCTTCTATCAAGCCGTGAAGCTCTTGCAATTTGTTAAAATGTGCGCGTCGCTGCAGCGAGAGCTACATGTTGGAAGCGGCCCGCCCTTCATCTGTGAACGTGCTGCCAGCTTCTAGGCTTGAGCCTCATCAGAAAATAAGGAAGTCCCAGGCGAAAGGACCGGCCCGCCGTTTCGACTGGCCTTGGGGTGCGACAGGGAGGAGTCAATCATAAGGAAAAGGAATGGAGAAGAAGGGGGGAAGAGGAGGAGGAGGAGGAGGGGGAAGGGGGAGGAGGAGGAAGAGGAGGGGGAGGAGCAGGACGAGGAGGAGGAGAACGGCGGAAGAGTGGGGGAGGAGGGGGGGGTGGAGGGAGCGAGGAAGCAGAGGAAGGAGGAGTCAGCAGGAGAGAGGTGCGGCGCGGCCTGAAATACACGGCCAGGTCCCCGCTGTCGCTCCCCAGCTGAAGCGTCCTCTCCCCGGCCGCGCTGGGCGTAGAGGCTTGGACCAATCCCTACACAGGAGGGCGGACAAGAAGGAGGAGCGCCAGTACGCAGGAGTCCAGCGTCAGCTTAAACATAAAAGCTGCATGGGGCCAGGCAGGAGCACAGGGGGGGGCAGCGTTCCAGATCGAACC